CACCATTGCTATTATTGGATAATTTCATATGAATTCCATCTGAAATCATTGAATACCATATGATAATAGTATCTTTTCACCAGTTGCAGTGCAAGCATTTTTTGTTGGTTTTTTTGGATTTAGTTTCCATGATCCACCTGTGGGGAATTGCATCAAAGATTATACTTTGGGCTGGGTATTCTGCTTATGTGTGAAATAGTTCCCTGAATTCTAAGCAAGATTGAGGGATTCTGGGAGAGGAAGTCCACATATTTGAATTATAGCATAATTGTGGGTACGTCCTTCTCAGCTACTATAGTCTGACTCATTTACATTTCTGTGATACCAGAGGAGGGTTTACCATATCATGCAACCTCATGGCTAACTTAATTATGGTTTTGTCAGTTAACCAAATGTTTTAGGTTTGCATGACAAAGCAAATCTAAGACTGTGTTCAAGCAACATACGAATTAAAATACAGTTAAGCTATTATTATTCTGCATTATTCCATATGGTGTGAAAACATTGTGATTATGAGCCTTGCAAGCTAACTATGATTAACATATGCAAGAATTACATGAACAGAATCCAATAGAACACTAGGCCCCAACCTTTGTGGCTTGGCGGCCTGACTGGGGAGGGAGAGGCAAACTGGGCGGCAGGAGCAGCAGGCCGGCACGCACATGCAGCTCGACTAGTTGAGCTACATGCACATGTGCGGGTCTGTCGGCTTGCCACTTGTCCATGGGGTTGTAACAGAATAACAGAGTTGGAAGGGACCTTGGAGGTCTTCTAGTCCAACCTCCTGCTTAGGCAGGAAACCCTACACCACTTCAGACAAATGGTTATCCAATATCTTCTTAAAAACTTCCAGTGTTGGAGCATTCACAACTTATGGCAGCAAGTTGTTCCACTGATTAATTGTTCTGTCAAGAAATTTCTCCTTAGTTCTAGGTTGCTTCTCTCCTTGATTAGTTTCCACCCATTGCTTCTTGCCCTCGGGTGCTTTGGAGAATAGTTTGACTACCTCTTCTTTGTGGCAGCTCCTGAGATATTGGAATAATGCTGTCATGTCACCCCTAGTCCTTCTTTTCATTAAACTAGACATACCCAGTTCCTGCAACGGTTCTTCATATATTCTAGCCCCCGTCCCCTAATCATCTTTGTTGATCTTCTCTGCACTCTTTCTAGAGTCTCCACATCTTTTTTACATTGTGGCCACCAAAACTAAATGCAGTATTTCAAATGTAACCTTACCAAGCCATTATAAAGTGGTACTAACACTTCATGTGATCTTGATTCTATCCCTCTGTTTATGCAGCCTAGAACTGTGTTGGCTTTTCTGGCAGCTGCTGCACACTGCTGGCTCATATCTAAATGGTTGTCCACTAGGACTCCAAGATCCCTCTCACAGTTACTACTATTGAGCGAGGTATCACATATACTGTAGCGGTACATTTTGTTTTTCTTGCCTAAATGTAGAATCTTATTTTTTCACCATTGAATTTAATTTTATTAGATAGTGCCCAATGTTCAAGTCTGTCGACTTGGGCGAGTCGAGCTGCGCATGTGTGCACTGGCCTACTGCTTGTGTGAGTTGAGCTGCACATGCACACCAGCCTGCCACTCACGGGCCAGTTGCAAATAGGCCACGTCTCAATATGATGGGGGTGGTGGTGTTGGGGACCCCTGCAATAAAACACTAAGCAATGAAATATTAAGAAACCCACCCAATGGAAAGGTATGCAATACAGATACAATACAGCCATTCATTTAGATACATTTGAAGTTACAATGGCACTGAAAAAAAAAATGATTTATGACCAGTCCTTACAATTGTGACTGTCACAGTATTCCCATGGTCATATGATTAAGGTTTGGCCACGTTGACACCTGGCATGTATTTACAATGTTTGCAGCATCCTGGGATCATGTGATTGCCAACTGTGACCTTCCCAGCCAGTTTTTGACAAGCAAAGAAAATGGGGGAAACATGTTTTATTTAACCCCTGCAGTCAGTCCCTTAACAACCATGGCAAAAAGGTTGTAAAATCAGGCATGACTCATTTAACAACCACCTTGCTTAACAAAAGAAATTATGTTCCCTCTTGTGGTTGTAAGTCAAGGGTGATCAGTGATTTATTTAAAACCTTTCTTTTACAGTCTGTTTTGTTCTATCTTTGACAAGATATATGGATACCAACACAGTTGGTCTAAATGGAACAGGCGGTTCTTATTATTTTTTTGAAAATTATGATTATTTAATTGAACAGTAATCCTTTGATTACTGTAGGAAATAGAGAAAGATAGGCTGTGGATATGGAATATCTTACCAGACGTTCAACAATTGTTGAATATCCAACAATTGTTTAGATGCCTAAAGACACATTTGCTCCAGCTGCTCTTTGCATAGAACTTAATGTGATTGTTTTTATGAAGTTTTGAACTGCTACAGTGATTTAAAATAGATTTCCTTTAGTGCTTTCTGGTATTTGTGCTGCAAACCCCTTTGAACAGTAGAAATATAGTCTAAGTATAAATAAAAGCTAATCGCAATAGGACAGCCATGTTTGTGAGCAGCTATCAGGAGGTGATCGAACTGTAATAATGGGGGAGGAGAAGCAACTGCAAAGAGGAGTAACCACTTGGGGAAGCATAGGAAATAATCAGGGGGTAGATGAAGATTTTAGCAATTATTAGAACAAAATTGATGTTGATGAATACATGGCAAGAGTAGGTTAACTTTTCTTCGTCTAGTAGAAAAATTTCCTTCCTCCCACATACATTGCCATTCTATCTATTGTCATCTAAAGTAGTTTTAAATTATACATATTTTTTGGCCCCTGCTTTTTTCTTGCTCTGTTCTACTTTTAGTATGTCTTCTACCAGGCTAAATTCTGAATTCTGTCAAACCTCAAGAAGCGTAGTTTGCATAAGGCTCTAAGAAGTGGACAGTCAATTTGCATGCCATACTAAGCTAAAATAAAATAGGGTGGATTATGGTGCAACTGCTTTGTCTTTTGAACAATGACCCTTGTGGCTTATTTAGAATGAGTGGGACCAAAAATGCAAGGTTACATTAAAAAAAAAAAGTTCATAGAAGTTTAAGACCCACATTTCGCCCCTTAAAACTCCACCCTCTACATGGTTTCAGATCCATCTACTTTCAAAATGTGGCACTTGATTTGCTTTAAAGTAGACAAAAAAAAATCTGATTCAAAATAACCACAGACACTGTTATCTGGGTCATTTTCTCGAGTCTTCCATTCAATGCAGTTTCCAACAAGTTGATTGTTGCTGATTGCTTGTAATCCCCTCCCTCCCATTTCTCATTTGTGCCAGTTGGTCTGTCAAAGGCTGACATATTATCAATCTATTATTCTTTGCGTTGAATACAGCCCCAAATGGAAAGCCATAGGACTGACTTTGAAATAAATGTGCCTCAGTCCTTTCTGTAGATTTTAACACTAAGCAAAAGAAGGTTTGGAAGAAGCCTACCCAATACTATTTTGCCTCGAAAAGTGAATTCTCCTGTGTGGGATTTATTCCTTCCCAAGTTGAATCTCTGCCTGGAACTGGCAACGACCACAGGGAATGTGATGACTTCTAAGCTGCTCATCTTTGCACAGCTGCTCTCTCTTCTCAGATCCCAAACGAAAAGGCAAAACTCTGGGCTCAGCTTCTGCATCACCCCTCCCCTTTGGCCAAGGTTGCCATAGATGCCCCAGCTGTGACATCACGGACTGTGAAATGCCATAAGAAGACAGCATTGTGTCCCCAACTCGCTGTCATGGTTGCATTCAGATCATCCCCCAATTATTTGTTGTGGCTTATTGCTCAGAGGCAAAGCTTCAGCTTAATCTCTGTGGGAAGAAAAATTCTATACCATCCTGCCTTTCATGCCACTCACCAACCCCATCCATCCCTGACCTGCCAATAAAACCTTTCCACCAATTCTACCTAGGCTGAAACTGATTAAGCACATCTAGAAATTCACCTGAGGAATCTGATAAATCCAATGAAACTTTGAACACAAGGCAACTGATAATCCATTTTAGTGTTTTGATCAAAAACAGCAAAACTGGGTGATCTTTTATCATCCACCTTAAACAGAGCAGGCAGAGAGAGAGAAAAAGCAAAAGCTGAGGCCGCCACGCACACAAACTTTTTCTCAAACTTCTTATAGTTTGCACAGCTTGAACTGATCATCATAGTGTTAGAAACCTAATTTCATATCAATTAGTTCATGCAAAACTCATGATTTTCTCAGCACTCTGCAAACAAAGGACCTTAGAAGGGGAAAGGAATACACTTTCTGGCCTATAGCCCAGAGCTTTGTTAGGGGGTGCTATCTCACATTAGGTTGCTGAGAATACACATTTTAAGTTACAAGCAAGGCTATTTGGCAATTAGCCTGGAGAGGCTTTATCTTTGCAGTTGGCAGTTGCAGGTTACAATGGAGCTCAGCTCAGCAGGGAATCAAAAGTTGAGTTAGGTACACTCTGTGTATGCTCTAATCCTTTCAATATAAAAATTCAAGAAACAAAATGGGATTTTGGGAATTAAGCTGGGTTATGTATCTATGCCTCATAACTGAGCTAACTAAAGAAAAGAGCAGAAATGTCTATGAGAGGTCTATCTTGCTTCTCCAGGAGCTTTAGATCAATGTTTCTATTCCTCAACAACTTTATGATATCCAAACATCAATTCTCAGAATTCTACTGGTTGGGAATTCTGGGAGTTGATGTTTCTGACATTTTAAAGTTCTGAGAATGAGAAAAAACTGCTTTATACGGCACACACAAGATGATTTCTTGATTTTATCCTCATAACAGTTACGCTGTGTGGGAAACAGGTAAGAAAAAAAATGATTGGCTGTAGTAAGTTTCCACAAGTGAGGATGAACTTGAACCTGGATTGTCTCCCAAGTCAGTTCAACACAGAATGTGGAATGATGCAGAGAATGATGATGTCACAGTGGAAAGGTTTCCATTGTTAGTAAAGGTACCAGAGGAAAAAGGAGAGATTTATGCAGAGAACAGCATCAATGGGAGTGAGCAAGTAGATCTCCTTCTAATACGATCATTAAAAAAAACAGAAGGGGTCAGGAGGAAAGGAACAGAGGGAACCCATCTTTAAGGTCAGATGAACACGAATATTCATTCTTTGAGTCACATTATGCTCCATGCCCCAGCAGAGACTTATTTTTTGGTAAGAGTTTTTTCAATTAAATGAATAAATATGCGAGGAAGCTAGTGTGCTGCAAATCAGCGGTCTCAACCTTTATCTTGGAATTAAAAACAACAGGGAATGTACTTTGTGTCCATTGTTTGAAAGTATGTTCATCTGGTAAATGGAAGATTTCTAAGTAGCCATGCCAACCATGCTGGCTATTTTATAAAAGTGATTATAGCACAGTAAGGGTGTACTGGGGCCACTGCCCCCAAAAGACAAAGATCTCCGATTTAAGGTTCAGTTTGAATCCTTAACAAACATTTAAAAACATTTCTCCTGGATGTATGGCATGATAGGGGAAAGAGGGGCCAGTCTCTGGGCCTTTTCAATTAACTCTTCTTGGATGGGTTTTCTTCAGAAAGACAGAGAGTGGGAGACCTGAACAGTTCAGGTAGGAAAAAGCCCAAATCCTTGAGATTCTTTGCTTCTCAGCAAGAAATGTCATGTGAAGCTCAAAACTCTCATGGTGGTGTGTCCAGAGTCCCCAGTTCTTCCCTCTCTCTTACATTCAAGTCAAGATTTGATTCTTGGTTACTATTTGGATAAGCCCCCACAGTTTTCTAGACAGTAGTTTTGGAAGGAGTTCACTACTGCTTCCTTCCCAGGGCTGAGGAGGAGGGACTGCTCCAAGACTACACAGATGGTTTTCAGGCACCAGAACCCAGCTCTTAACCCATTCTCCTAACCACTGGACAAAACCGGTTCTCTATACATGATATATAAATCACATAAATGTGACAATCTCCTTTGAATTGAACTTAATTTTCAGTGACTTCATAGACAAATCCATGTAGTTCTCTCAGCAGAAAGAGAGAGAATGGCTGTCATTCTTTTCCAAGTCCCAACTGTTGGGAGCGCCTGATGGTCATCTTGTCAGGAAAGCTGGGAATGTTGGCAGCAGCACATAGAAAGAGGTGGGGCAAATAGAAAGGCACATAGAAAGAGGTAAGGCTTTGATCTCCCAGTTGCATTCATCATTTTGATATCCTTGGCTACAGATGACACCGATCCAATATTAACTAGATCTCATTCTACTTAGCTGTTTAAAATCTGTTAAGATTGCCAAGTGCTGCTTTTTAAACTATACAGTGTTGAAATTCTAGAGATCAAGATATTCCTATGAATTTTTCCCTTCGTTCACCTTCTAAAAGTATTGTATGCCCCATTATGCATATGTGAAACTGATGGGAATTTGTGAAGGATTTTTCTTAGGTAGTTTCTCAGCAATTCAATTCCTTTCTAGGAGAGGTTTATTTGAAATTTTGCTACAAAAATGGATTTTTGCTATGTTGGTCATGATTACAAATTGTTTTAATTTTAGTTGCAATGTTTGCATTTATCCACATTGATTTAGCTTCCCCGAGTTAATGTAAATAATTCTGAACAATCTAAAGCTAAGCAGCAGTTCAAAAATGTTTTAATTAATGTTTTAAAAGGCTTTTAATTCTTTAATAATTTATTTATTTATGTTTATTAAATATATATATATATAGCTGCTCATCTCGAGCGATTCTGGGTAGTATACAACAATAATACAGGAATAATATTTAGAAGAGATCTGAAATTAGAATAATTATATAATATGCTTAAACGTAAACCACTGCATTCAATGCATAGCAGCTGGCTTCATGTAATGCATTAAGCAAATGCCAAAGTAACTCATGGTTATGTGAAACTATGTGAAGCAAAAGCCAAACATGATTCATGATATGTGAAACTGTGCAAGATAGTTTCTTGTTTTTAGTCAAATAAAGATAAAATGGTTAAATAAGAAAGAAACTTGATATTTGATCAACTGGAATGAATGGTTAAGAGGTCTCTCAGTTGGCAGACAATCTTTTTTTAAAAATAATATGCCATCGCAATTTGGAGATGGTGACTGCCATCTGGAGGAAGGAGCTAAAGAACTGTATGTTATGTGTGTAACAGAGAAGCTGGCAGTGAAGGTCAGAAAGAATACAAAGAGTGAATTGGCAGAAGCTGAAAGGATCTTTGAGTGCAGGCTGATTTTAAGAATTTTGTGGCTTGCTTGAGGAACCTGCTCCCAAGCTACTTTAGTTGCTTATTTGTGAGCAGAAATTAATGTGCAATGTTTCCTCATCTGAAGGAAATAAAATCTGCTGTACTCAGTTCATTATATCAGAGGGGATGGGCAACCTGTAATCCCAGGGGCACATATGGGTTGCAAACCTCATTTGGTAGCTTTCAGAGCTTCCTTGACTGCTCTTTGGCAGTTAAATCGTTTCCTGACTTGCAACTTAATGCTGCAGTTTCTGCCATTTTTAACTGAGAATCATGTGAAAATTGTAGATATGCTCTAATCATGTTCTTATAAATGGGTATAACCTGATCTTGCTGAAAACTCCCAATGACTTGGGCTAGAGGAGGGGAATGAAAAATCCTAGTTCTTTATTTTTATGATCAACCTGTTTGTTGTTGCTCTTGCCCACTCTAGGTTGTCCACCCAAGATGTTGTTTTCCTGACCGAATATGAGAAGGATTAATGTGATACCAGGGATGAGAGCCCATTTCTTAGAATCTTTGGCCTGGGTCTTTTTTATTTGAACACTTAGGATGTTAAGCAACAGAACAGTAGGAATTGCAGGCATCTGCTTCTCTGAAGGATCTGCTTTCTGCCAACTTCACTCCCTCTCTTCTGATGTTCCAAAGCTCTGGAGTTTGCAGGATCCTCATGACAACTTCCTCAAAGGCACTTTGCACTCCAGCCTTCATTTTAGCACTGGCTTCTGGAAGCAGAAACGAAACAAGAGGAGTCATTTGTCAAATTCAGCCTCCCTGAACTCATAATCTTCCAGAGAGGTTGGCCTACATTCCCATCAAACTTAAAAAAAACATTATTAATGGTTAAAAAATGATGGGAGTTAATGCATTTGGATAGTGTTGCTTTAAAGAAAGCTTTCCTGCTAAGTGGCCTGAGCAACACTCTTAGCTCCTCATCTACATTTAATGGGGGGAAAATTGGGATAAAAAGTGCTATGGAGATAGTTATTACAAGTAAGTGTTACAGATCCTGAGCTACTACAACACCAAATGCAATGCCAAGAAACTATTTGAAGAGGATACAGTTAAGCAGAAGACAGACAACATAAGGCATCAAGAGGACATCTGAGAACCATGGTCTGGAGAGTGGGGAGAGAGAGATGGGGATTTAACAGAGGAACATTCATTGTAGGAAGACAGCCATGATGATTCTATGGTAGACAGAACTCAAATGGCATCTGATAGCACTTTTTCCAGCTAACACATTAAAAGGAATAAGTGTTAGCTGGAAAAGATACTGCCAGATTTATTCAGATAGAAGACTATTAAATAAAGTATCTCTAAAACTAAAATCCTGTAATTGTTCTACTTTATCTATAGGACAAATATTCCTGCATCTGGGTTTTATTGCAGCAACATTGACATGATTATTATTTACCTTCATGTACCTTGAAATGCTATTATTTGGAGGGAGGAATCTATAAATCAATACAAGTGTATATTTAGAATGATATAAATATCGGGTTGCATATGAGATCTTTCTAGCTTGTTGGGTTTGTAGTGGCCTTCTCCCATCAGGTTTCTCTTGATAGGCAATGTTATACTGTCATTATTCTGGACCAGGATGCATGGTGAGAGATAGATTGGAAGACCCAGTTATGGAAAGCCTGATTTAAAGTTGTTGTGGCACCAAATTTCCGTTTTAGGAAGGCTACAAAAATGTCCACTGGGATCACTACGAGAGCAATAAAGAAGGCTCTTGTTGATCCCACCTAGGGAATGTCTGTATCTTTTTAATCCAAATCTTATACCTCTAGCGGCTAGCCCATTTTTAATATGACTTTAGAAGCATTAGCTTGACCTTGCAAAAGACATTTTAAGTGCTTATAAAATATGTCAAATAATCTCTATAGCCCCCCATATAAGATCTTTATTACTATCTCTGAAACACCAGAAAAAAACATCTGACAAAATTCAAAGCACATTGCTTAAAAGCTTGCCTTCCATTTCTTTTTGAACATTCTATTGAATCTTAAGGGGAAAGCAAGAAGGGTTTAAAAAGTGTGGCCAAAAATAAGCACATTCCTTTTAAATCCTCTCATATTGTATTTTTCTGGCTGCTAAGTTTTCTTCACCCTCTCTGGTAAACCAAAGGGAATCTCTTCCCCACTGAAAGAAAGCACGAAGCACAGAAGGGGTGAGAAAATTTCTTCTTCTGTTAAAAATCGGAGAAGGCTTGCTGCTGGTACTTGATGCATCTGTCTCAGTGTGAATTCCCTAATGGCAAATGACTATTTAAATAAATCAAACTTCTTTCAGGAAATTAAGGGTTACATTCCTCCCCCTCCCCCTTTATCAACAGATGCTTTGCTGCATCAGACCAAAAGGCCCACCTCTTTCAGCCATTCCTACAGAGGCCTACCAAATGCCTCAGGTGAATCCAACAGCAAATTAAGAACTGAAGTGCACCATCCTGTTCCCGGGAGGCATGCTGTTATTGTTTGAATATATACATGCCTCTCAAGATCAGTATGGGGCTCTCCAGTTCTTATCCTGCTCCTAGGCTCGCCTGAGGCATTTAGAGAGGTGAATTTTATATGAACAGTAAACATTACGTTGCTACTGTTTTATGCTAACTCAAGGAAGCAGGGGCAGTGCTTTAACTCAGTGATGGGGAAAATAAAGTTTATGTTCATTTATGTTGAGAGACTACGGAATCCAACCCTCTCTCTGACACCAGCTTCTCTCCAGGCTTCCAACAAGGTTGAAAGAGCACAACAGAATTCCACAATGTCGGTTGGGGAAGAACAAGGGGCATATTTATGTTAATTTATTTAATTGGCTTGTGAAATTTTTAATTATGCTCCAGCTTTGCTCTTCCTAACTGTTGGGTCCAGAAAATAATGAAGGATGCTGAACTTGACATTTGTTGTTTATTGCCCAGTTTTCTATACTGTTCTTTCAGTTATTGCTTCTCCTTCTCTACTACCAAGAACGACAGTGATTGCCCATCAACTAGTTCAGTTCTATAGCTCTCAAGAGCCTAGCTATAGTTCAATCCTGGAAAGATCTGCCTCTCTCCTCTGGAAACATTCCCCAAATGTTTCACTGTTGTAGTGTATCTTGAGAGATGCCCAAATGAAGGGACTGGCAACCCTGCCTAGAGAAGCCAGGCCAAGTCCTGAAGTCAGACCATTCGGATTCTGGCTGCATTTGTAGATGTTCTCCTAGATCAGGGTCTCCAACCTTGGCAACTTTAAGCCTGGCAGATTTCAATTCCCAGAATTCTGGAAGTTGAAGTCCTCCAGGCTTAAAGTTGCCAAGGTTGGAGACCCTGTCCTAGATAGCTGGGTATCTGCAAAGTTATGGGGGCGGGGGGAAGATGACCCAGTTTGTCTGTAAAAGAATGGCTCATTCACAAATCAAGATAGAGTCATTGTGATTTAAACATAATGGCAGAAGAATGCAGATTGGCAATGGGAACAGCAAACATGCTGATGTTTTTTTTTTCCTCTTTTTTTTTTATTGAAAAAGTTTTCAAATACAAATTTCCCCCCCTTTTTTTCCCCCTCTTCCTCCCCCTCCCTAACCTCCCCTCCCCACCCATCCCCCCCTGTGACTTCTTCATAACAAAAAAAAAAACCTAATTCATAACAGATTACTTACTCCCTCCTTTAGATATTGACCTTTACTTACTAAAAATATTATTAATATTATAACATCCCCCTTTATCCATACATATCAGAAAAGAGAAAAGAAAGGAAAAAAAAAAGACATTATACTATGACATTATAGAATAACTTCTCCACTTTAAAACTATACGATAAGTCCTACTTTAACATTTAATCTTCTATATATATTACTATAACATTTCAAAGCGGCCTTCCCCATAAAATCTAGTTTAACATTTATTCCACTCTATCCATTTCCTCCACTCCCCTAGATATATCACTTAAAAATCCCTTTTCTTAGACTAATCAATCTACTAACTAGCTTATTCACCCACTATCATGCAAAATTACCATACACAACATTTCTTAATATCTTTGATTCACTGCCCACACTACTTAAAAATATATGTCTATATTTTCCATTATATATAAATAAAAAAAAGAAAAGACAATGACTTTAAATTTATAATCCATATAGTATCTTCTTTGAGGTCTTTCCACTGGATTGGTAGAACCAACATCCATAATCGGGTAACATAGCTTGCTGGTGCAACAGTTTATTCAGGATCTTCAATCATATCTGCCCCCATCAGTAGTAAATATCTTCTTATATGTATAAAAGTAAAAACAACCACCCGAGTGACATTATAATTATATTCCATATAGTAATAATTGTGGGTTTCATCAGGATTATTAATTCCCATCATCGTAGTGGGTAACAACCCGATCTTCTGCATGCCCCAGCATAATTCTCTTGCCTTGTGATTCAAGATAATGTAATATGTTTATCAACACAAAAAGAAATTCCAAAATGGATAATTCAAATCCATCAGTTTAAGGCTTGTTTCACGTCCCCAGATTACGGCCATGCAGAGATCTGCCACAATCCTCAGGATGATATTAACCAATACGTCGCCTCTTCTGTGTTTACACATAATCATTCATATTTTAAAGTCACTGGCTTCACTGTTGCCTGATTTAGAAATTTCTATTTTTATGCCACCTATTTCTTTTTTTCTTTTCTTTTTGTGGGTTTGGTTTCCATCCTGGTTTCCTTTCTACAAATTGTGTATCATCTGGTCGGTTTTTATTCTGCTTTGTAGATTGGTCTTGTTGGTTTTGCTTTTGTATCTCATGTTTCTTCTTTATCCCTTGTATATCCCCTAATTGGTTTCCATGCTTATCCTTGCCTTGATAAGTCATCACATTAAGGTTAGATGCCACTTCTCTCAAATTTGTAGATAGTCCAGCTGGGGTATCCAATAAATCCAAAGGCAATTCATCTGGTACAGTCTCTGTAATTCGATATTTTACCTTTATTTCCGGCTCCTTCTGCTTATCCTGTATTATACCTGAAGATGTTAAGTTCATTTTCAACCTATTTTGATAAAATTCTTCCGCTCTTTCAACAGTATTTAGCTGATATCTTTCTCCTTGGTATCTAAATATAATACCAACTGGGGCGTCCCACCTGAATGGGATATTTCTCTTTTTTAACTCATTCACCAGAAAACCAAATGTCTTCCTTTCCATCAATATCTTAGGTGGGAGTTCCTTGTAAATCCAAATCTTCCATAGAATTGCAAATTAGAATTGAAGGAATTTTGCACGATATTATTCCTAATTTCTTTATCTGTAAAATAAATCACATCATCTCTAGGCAATTGCCTTTGCTTGGCAATCCAGGAGTTGATTCGATAAACTCTATCGATCCTACAAAACACTTCGTCAGGTTGAACCTTTAGAATCCCAGCTAGAAATTCAGAAGATATTTTCCTTAAATCATCTCTATTATTTTCCTGCAAACCTCTTAATCTTATCGCATATTCTGTGAAATTATATTGTACCATTAAAATCTCTTTTTCAATCTTCTGTTGCAGATTTTCTGCATTACCATACTTTTGATCAGCATCCATTTTAGGTTTTTCTTCTAAGCTATTATCCTGAGTGTTTGTCAAATCATTTTCAATTTTTTGAATTCTATTGTCCAATTTATCTTGAATTTCTTCCATTTTAGACTCTAGTACATTAGTATTTGTGTCCAACTGTATCATAAATTCTGTAAAACCATTAGCCACTTTTGAGAATTTTTTCTCCAAAGAATCAAACTTAGATTTCACCAATTCTTTAATTTCCTGCTTAAATTTTTCAAATTGCTGATTCACAATCTCCTCCCTTCTTTCAATCTCCTCTATAAAAAATTCTATTATATTAAAATCAGGTTTCTGAGACTGAAGAATTAAGACTTGTTCCTTTAAGTTTTTGGTGGGGGAATCCCCCCCCCCCTTCTTGTTTATCTGACTTTATGAGTCTCAGTGCCATGTTTCCGCCCAGGCAGGCTTTGTTAAAAAAAAAGCAAGAAAGAAAAAAGAAAAAAAAAAGGACTTCTTTCCAATCAACAACAATATCAAGTCTCCAAGGGAAAAAAAAAGAGAAAAAGACACAGGAGCAAAGTTTTGTCTACAAATGTAGCCAGTGGTATTTATTCCGCTACATTGTAGTAATAGAAAACGGAGGGACTTTCCCTTTCAGCCTCTCCTCCAGCCGACGCCATTTTAAAAGGCTTTTTTTCCTCTTTCTTTTCCTCCTCTCTCTTAAGTAATTTTTTAAAAAAATCAGTAAAATACTTGCGGTTCAGTATTACAGGTCCAGCTCACATTTTGAGTAGTCTGTTAAATTTGCAGGCTTGCTTTTGACGCCTGGCTCTGCATCAGCAGAGGTCTCCCAAAGCCCGGAGCAGCGGCTGGGGATACGGGGCATCTCATCCGCTCCGTCCCAAAAGTAAAGGAAAAACTTTTGGGACTCCGCAGAGTGTTCTACCCACCCCTGCCGGCTCTATCTCCGTTTCCTCATGGAAACGGAGTTTTTTCGAGCCGTCATTCCGTTGTGAAGGCGGCTCTGACAGGCGATGGAAGCTGACGATCCCAAAGGAACGTCTAGCAGCGACAAACAGCAAACCGGAAGTCCTGCAAACATGCTGATGTTGTTCCATCCCAACTCAAGGATTGGCAGACTGTTCTTTAACTGATGAAAGCCCCCAAAAGAGCAGTTCTATAGTTCTGAAAGGATATCTAGAGACCTTTGCAGGAGCAAATCTGATGTCATTTTCCCTCCCACCTTAAGCCCTAGCACTGACATCTAGGGTTTAGGTGCAGGGGTGAAATGCTCCCTGTTCGGACCGGATTGTCTGATCCGGTAGCGATGGCGGGTGATGGTTTGGAGAACTGGTAGCAAAAATCCCTCTCCCCCCACAATGCCCAGCTGAGCTGCACAATCATCAGAGGTTTTTTTAAAAAAATTTAAAAGCATTTTTTCTACAACCTCTTTGGCTGAAAAAATGCTTTAAAAAGCTAAAAAAAAAAAAAGCCTCTGACGATCAGGCAACTAAGCTGGGATTGTCAGAGGCTTTTAAAAGCATTTTTTAAAAAATGCTCAGCCGAAGAGGTTGTAGAAAAAATGGTTTTAAAAGTTAAAAAAAAAATGGCCACGCCCACCCAGTCACATTACCCCCCCAAGCCATGCCCACAGAACCGGTAGTAACAAATTTTACAATTCACCACTGCTTAGGTGGGAGGGAAACCTAAGCCCATCCCACATAGGGGATTTTTGGAAGGGTTAAAAGAAATAGTGCTAGGAGTAGGCTGGGGAGAACATCTGCAAAGATAACGAAATGATGATTTTTGCAATGATTTTACTTCTGGAAAACCAGAATATTTCCTCATATTCTTCACATACCTATAAAGAGCATGGAGTGTTTCTGTGCAAATAGCAGTCCTTCTCTTTTTTCTACTTCACGGTTGGTCTGTAGATGGGGAGAGAAAATCATTAGGTACTTAATATGGATAGATAGGCAGACAGGCAGGCAGGATGGAAGGAAGGAAGGACTCTCTTCTAGATTAACACTGGATTAACAATCAAGCAGTAAACAATACCTCAATCAAGAAACTACCAACTCAGATAAACAAACAGTAAACAACAGCCTAATTTTGGAACTACCAAGAACAGTGACAGGGCAAGCCACTTGTATATGGAGCAAACCTCACCCCCTTCCACTACTAACAATGTTATCTAGTTAGGTAATTAAACATCTGTAAGAAAACAATCAAGCTTGAGAACTCACAGGACTGCCTTCTAAATTGGCAAAAGGCCAGTTAGATTATTTTACCAAAGATGCTACCTCCCTAGATCTGACAAGGTTTGATAAATTATAATTACATAGCAATTCCAAACTGCACTGTGTTGGAAAAATAAAAAAGCCTCTCTGTGTGAAGAGATGATAATGATATAAATCAAATATAGTATTTAATGGATAAGATGCCTTAACTTAAATGCTGGCGGGGGAACATAGGAAGACTCATGGGCCACACTGAATATATAGGCCAGTTGCTTTCCATTCCTATTCTAGTAACTGTTATTCTTGCATTTCTATCGACTTTTTTTTGTATTAACAGGAGCTAGAAATCAATAAAGCCCTTCATAATCATGCCATTCCTTTTCTTTACTATATATCTACTGAATACTAACAGAACTGTTCTCTCTATAAAAACACAGTGATAGGTGAATGAGTTAACACACTCAACAGATGTACAAATTCCTTGTTTTGAAACATAAAAACAGATAGATCTGAATTTTGTATTAAGGTTCCAAGAGCTCATAAAGGATGGATTTACTTCTCCCCTATTCTATTTATTGTTCTTTTGAGACTCTTTTGGTTCTCTACATTTTCTCCACTGGAAATCTTGAAAATGGCATATGTCAATGTTCCCTGACTAAATTGGTGTTGATGTTCAGTTCAACATTAGTTCAACACTCAGTTCTGATGTAGAAATCCTCAAATCCTTTATGTTGGTTCCTTTGTACAACAACATCAAAGATTGGCAAGATTTCCTGTCAGAGGAAGGAAACACACAAAAAGTATAGTGCCACTACTATAATTTAAAGATGATATAAACATTAATGTAGTTTAAAAAAAAATGGATTCCCTGTTCAAAAAATATTAAGTATGCCTCTGAACTCCAAAATATTGCTTAGTCAACAACTAATACAATTGTTGTATATGGGCTTCACAAATATTTAACTAGATAATGAAAAATAATAGTTTTCTTCATGGGAAGGAGAGATTAGTAAAAGGACAAGTCAATCAGCACCATTCATAGCTGTAAAAAGAAGAATATAGGTTTTCTAACTTGCTGTCTCTTCAGTCAATCAGTGTCATATAAACTTGCTTTTTTATATAATTAGTAGAATACCCAAAGGTGCCTTTTCCAAAAAGCAACCGGACTTACTTGGTTTTTTTCTTAAGAACTGAAGAAACTCTTGGATGAGAAGTGAAACTTTTTCAAAGGAAGAAACCAAGAAAGTCCCAAAATCTTTGGGACAACCATGACCTGGATGATTGAGAACTTCCATAGACAATAGGTAGAACAGTTTTCCTGAACACAATCCTATTAAAAAGAATGTAGTCTCGAAATATGGCAAGTGCACTTATATTAATAATCAAATGGGCAGTGAAAGAACCTCTGGAGATGCTGGTCCATTTTCCTTTGGTCTTGCAACATATCTAAGGCTTATCTTTTTCATTTTGTATACTGAGAGTGAATTTTAGTTTTGATTAATTTTATGAAATACATGGTAGTATAATCAGAATTAAAGGAAGTAAAAGAATATGCAAAGACAGGCAGAGCAAAAAAAAAAAAAGTGAACTAGAATTGCAACAAATACTGGAAATACATGAGAGCTCTCTCAACTATGACTGTTTTTCTCACTAGGGAAGGGAATAAACAAAACTCCAGTGTCTAGTGAAAGCAGAAACCAAAAAAAGCAACCCAAAACACGGAGTAGTGACAGAGAAACTGCTGGCTTCTGAAGCAGCTTGAACATATTGCCCATTACATCAGAGCAGGAGAAAGATGGAGAGGTCTCGTTCAGGATGCTGAGGTATGAAGGCAGCTGATGCCTCTGGCAAAGCGTAGGAGGCAGGCAGTAATAGGGAGCAAACATCCAACAGGCTTCTGCAGACTGGGACAAGATTCTTGGTGATAGGGAGGGAGGAAGGGAGGGAGGGAAGAAGGGAAACTAATTACAGCCAGCCTTTCAATCTTGTTGTTTACTTATTAACAGGCTCTGTGTTTCAGCTCTATCAGAGGCTGCACACTATGTGCATTTACTATCAGGCAACCTAAAATGTGGGAGCATTTTTAATCTAGGTTATATACAATTTTAATTATTCATAGGACCATACATTGCTAGGAAAAGATTTTTTGTTACAATGATCACTTTATTGTACAATCTACTTCCTATTTTCCTAATGCACCCCATAACACACTTTCACTTCATAGATTCCTCTGTTTCACTCCCTCCCCTATTTTTCTTCATTTATTTCCACAGTTCTCTCTTTATTTGTATTAATCCTTTTCCAATACTTTTTTCTCCACTGTTGTTCAGTCATTCAGTTATTTCCAACTCTTTAGGCCCCAAGAGTATCCATTCTCCATGACTGCCTATCATAAATTGCTTCTTTGAATTTTTTTTTTTTAATTTGATTTTATATGCCGCCCTTCTCCGGAGACTCAGTTTCTGCTTAATATGGTAAGTCAGTAAATGTATATAGCTACCTTATTGTTTATCAATTTTTTATTTTTGTCTTTAATTTTTCTAGGGTCTTCTCCCATGACATTTACCTTCACATTACATGTCCAAAATATCTAATCTTTAACTTTAATATGAGCATTCCAATGGGCAGGCTGGTTTTATATCATTTAGTTTTGAATGATTTATACTTCTTGTCGTCCAAGATATTCTCAGCATTTTCCAGTATCACTTTAACTCAAAGGTCTGACAACTTCTTCATTTAGCTATTCTGATGATTTATGTTTCATAGCCATATGTTACATCTAGAGAAACCACAGCCATGGCAATTTGTACCTTTCTTCATTACTCTCCTTATACGTGCATCTCCAGATCTAATCTCCCATTTATGGTTCTCTTGAATCCATGCAAGATAACAAGGGAGTCTAAAATTTCCTAGTTTGCCACACAAACACCAAGTTTAACCCTATTTATTTATTTATTTATTTATTTATTTATTTATTTATTTATTTATTTATTTATTTATTATATTTCTATACCGCCTTTCTCCCGTAGGACTCAAGGCGGTGTACAATCAAGAAAAATATAGACACACAAACATCATAAAATTGCTAATTAAAATTATTACTTAGTTTGGTCAATTAAATAAACTTAGATAACATTTAAAAAATCATTCACATGTTTGTATGTTTAGCCCTGCCTGTTGGAACATCAGGGTCTTGAGGGCACGGCGGAAAGCACGGAGATCAGGGATATTCCGTATCTCTGGGGGCAGTTCATTCCAAAGGGTTGGAGCCCCCACAGAGAAGGCCCTCCCCCTGGGAGACGCCAGTCGACATAATTTGACTGACGGTACCCTGAGTAGTCCCTCCCTGTGAGAACGAACTGGTCGGTGGGAGGCTATTGGTGGCAAAAGACAGTCTCGTAGGTACCCAGGTCCTAAGCCATGGAGCGCTTTAAAGGTGATAACTAACACCTTGAATCGCACCCGGAAGACCACCGGGAGCCAGTGCAGCTCGTGTAGGAGAGGTGTTACATGGGCGTAACGAGCTGCGCCCATAATCACCCGCACGGCTACGTTCTGGACCAGTTGAAGCCTCCGGGTGCTTTTCAATGGGAGCCCCATGTAGAGAGCATTACAGTAGTCCATACGGGAGGTAACTAGGGCATGAGTGACCGTGCGCAAGGCATCCCGATCCAGAAAGGGACGCAACTGACGGATCAGGCGAACCTGATAAAAGGCACCCCTGACCACGGCCGTCAAATGATCTTCTAAAGATAACCGTGAATTCAGGAGGACACCCAAGTTGCGGGCCCTCTCTGTGGGGAGCAAGATCTCATCCCCTATTGTCAGTGATGGTACCAGCTGACTATACCGGGACGCCGGAAGCCACAGCCACTTGGTCTTGGAGGGGTTGAGTCTGAGCTTGTTTCTCCCCATCCAGATCCGCACGGCCTCATTGGGGTGGTCTGGGGTGGAGATGTATAGCTGTGTGTCATCAGCATACTGATGAACACTCACCCCAAAACCACGGATGATCTCACCTAGCGGTTTTACATAAATGTTGAACAGAAGGGGTGAGAGGACTGACCCTTGTGGCACCCCACAAATAAGGTGCCTCGAGGTCAACCTCTGCCCCCCTGCCAACACAAACTGCGAACGGTCAGAGAGGAAGGAGGAGAACCACCGAAGCACGGTGCCCCCTATTCCTAACCCCTCCAGCCGGTGCAGTAAGATACCATGGTCGATGGTATCAAAAGCCGCTGAGAGATCTAATAGGACCAGGATAGAGGAGCAACCTCTGTCCCGAGCCCTCCAGAGATCATCCACCAATGCGACCAATGCCGTTTCCGTGCTGTATCGTGACCTGAAGCCCGACTGGAACGGATCCAGATAGACAACTTCATCCAGATATCAGGGTAGTTGTCGCGCCACCACACTCTCAACAACCTTCGCAACAAAGCGAAGATTGGAGACTGGACGATAATTTGATAATATAGCCGGATCCAGGGAAGGCTTCTTGAGGAGGGGCTTCACAACCGCCTCTTTCAAGGCGGCGGGAAAGACACCCTCACTCAGAGAAGCATTTATAATCCCCTGGAGCCAGCCTTGTGTAACCTCCCGGGAGGCCAGTACCAACCAGGAGGGACACGGGTCCAATAAACATGTGGCAGCGTTAAGCTTGCCCAGAATCCTGTCCACGTCCTCAGGAGCCACAGAGTCAAACTCTTCCCAGATAACGCTCTCAAGACCTGCCCCCATCTCCTCCCCTGGATCTACCCAATCGGAGTCCAGGCCTTCCCGAATCTGAGCGACTTTATCATGCAGGAATTGTACAAAATCCTCAGCTCGACCCTTTAAGGGATCTTCCTGTACCCCCACTTGAAGTAGGGAGCGGGTCACCCTAAACAGCGCAGCTGGGCGGTTCTCTGCAGATGCAATAAGAGCGGAGAAGTAGCTAGACTTCGCCGCTCTTATCGCCAGTAGGTAGGTCTTAATATAAGATCTCACCTGTGTTCGGTCAGATTCAGATTGGCTTGTCCTCCAATCGCTCTCCAGGCGTCTTTTCTGATGCTTCATCTCTCTCAGCTCCTCGGAAAACCAAGGAGCTAGACGAGATCGGCATCGGGTCAGAGGCCGCAAAGGTACAACGCGGTCCAAGGCCCCAGTAGCCGCCCTGTCCCAGGCGACCACCAGGTCCTCAGTCGAGTTGTGAGCCAGAGTCTCAGGAAATGGCCCAAGCTCCATCAGGAACCTTTCGGGGTCCATCAGGCGCCTGGGACGGAACCATTTGGTTGGTTCGGTCTCCCTGCGGTGGGTGGAAGTGACTTGAAAGTCCATGTGAAGGAGAGAATGATCAGACCATGACAAGGGCTTGATGTCTATATCCCCTATTCTTAGATCATTCAGCCACTGATCAGAGACAAAAATCAAGTCCAGAGTGTGATTCCCCAAGTGGGTGGGGCCTTGAACTACCTGGGTCAGGTCCATGGCTGTCATGGAAGCCATGAACTCCTGAGCCATCTCCGACATCTCACCAGCGGATGGCAGGTTAAAATCCCCCATAACAATAAGTCTGGGGGTTTCCACCGCCATCCCGGCTATAATGTCGAGCAGCTCAGGCAGGACCGCTGTTACGTGGCAGGGAGCCAGGTACGCAATCAGTAGGCCCATCTGAATCCCCCGACCCCACTTCACAAGGAGGGACTCACATCCGGCTATCTGAGGAACAGTGGCCTCCCTCGGGCAAAGACTTTCTCTAATGATTGCTGCCACTCCCCCACCCCTTCCCTGAGTCCTTGGCTGCACGGAATGCACGGAAACCTGGCGGGCACATTTCCTCAAGGGGAACTCCTCCCTCCTGGCCTAACCAGGTCTCCGTAATCCCTGCCAGGTCAGCACCCCCCTCTGAAATAAGATCATGAATGAGGGGGGCTTTATTTACCACTGACCTGGCATTACATAACATCAGGCCATAGACCCAGGGTCTGAGACTCTGAACAACCCGGGAAACGAGCAGTGCTTTGGGGGTCGGAGTGGGCAATCGCTTGTAAACAACGAGTGCGCACTCCCGAAACATAATATGGCCCCCTGCAGCCGTCATATCTGCCCCTCCCACTTACTATACTAATGCCCATCGCTTCATCCCCCTGCATCCTTGTCAGATTTCTGTCCCCATCCTCCCCAACTTATAACTTATAACTTACCTCATCAATTTTGTTGCCCACCAGCATCTTCACAACGTTTTTCTTGGTATAGATATCTAGCTCCTGTAGCCAGCTTTCCAGACCCAGAAACGTCTCTCTCCTGGTAACATCATAAACTGCATAATGGTGCAAACCAAACAGATGCCTTGTGTTTACATAGGAGAGCATTTTCAGTAAGTATGAAAAAGAGAAAAGGTTGATCCACTTCTAGCCAGATGACATAAAGTGATTTGGTGGATAGAACCACATCTGGTTCTACTTAGGTTTATGAGCAATCTTGGACTATGTTCCAATCATTTTTAATAATTAACCATCTTTAGTGAGTTAGTATGTTCATAACATCTGGCAGGATCTAGACCAGGGGTCAGCAACCCGCGGCTCTGAAGCTGCATGTGGCTCTTTCATCCCTCTGCTGCGGCTCCGAAGCTCAAAATATGTGTCACAACCGCCAATGTGCAACATCTGCCGGCACTTGATTTATTGAGCTTTTCAACCCCCAGGAGGCCAACCACGGATAAATCCAAGAAAAGAAAAGTTTCAAAAGAAAAGAGAACGTTTTAATTCAACTACATATGCTAGTATTGTGGCTGCTCAGGAAATAGTCAGGCATGGGAAGGGTTTTGTGGCTCCCGGTGTTTTCTTTTCTGTGGAAAACTGGTCCAAATGGCTCTTTAAGTGTTTAAGATTGCTGACCCCTGATCTAGACAAAAGGAAGGCTTTTGTGATAGTCCATGCAGAAGTTATCCCAAATGATGTATATAAAAAGGTAAGCATTCTAATGCCTCCCAAACACTTTAGCCTTCAGGTGCCTTTGATTATTGAACATGTCTAATGGCAAGTAAAGATGATAGCTCTGACTAAAAGCATTTGAAGGCCACCAGTTTTCTTGTCTGGTGTTCTTGGATTAAAACATAGATACACCTACACAGAGAAAAATCTCAAAATTACCCTTAAATTCAGGAGGAAAATGGAAGACCCTGGCCTCATTTACCTGTGTGATGAGGGCACTTGCCCCCTGCATCTTCGTCCCATCTATGCCAGTCCTCCAAATATTACCTCTGGCCATCAAGCATACCTCTGCTTGGCAGCCATCCATGTTAGAAACCTATTCTGTATTTTTATCTTTCCCCTATTATTGTAGTGGTAAAAAGCAGCAGCTTGTAGACTACTATAGCACAGGTTAAATGCACTAATGTTGAGAACCACTTTTTCTTCCCACAGTGCAATAGTGAAATATGGGACTGCTGTGAATTTGCTTCTGAAATTCATAAGCAGAATGTGAGTTCTCAAGGCTTCCCCATGATTTATTATTTCTTGTGTGGTCTCTCTCTCTCTCTCTAAGTGGCACTTCTGCTCCAATTCAATTTCTCCAACATTCAAAGGGCAGTATTTTATATCTGCACAGAGGCACTCTTCCCCATGGTGAATGAAATGGAATTGTAATTATTGCACCAAATAGGGTTTTGGATTATGAAGGCCACATCTACTGCATGTAATTAATGTCAAGACATAAGGAAATTGTCCCCACATGACAAAATCACCTTGGGAACATAGGAAAATATTCTGAAGGGGAAATGGAGGATGGGGATATTATAGCCATGTTAAAATACTCTTCAAGGTTTAGCTTAACTTGGATCAAAGCTTGAAAGGCTCATGTGCTTTACATCTCCATCTCCATCAACAGAAATAAAACTAAGGGGACTTTGCTTTCATATTTGAAATATTTTGAAGTAACATGAAACTCTGCTGAAAAACAATCACCGCCAATGAACAAGTCAGTAGCCTAGGAGCAAAAGCCGTCAATTGTTCTTCAGAGGCTGTTGTGCCAGCTACCCTGAGAGAAATTGATGTACTTCCATTTACCTCTGCCTGTAATGTGTTTGGCTTCAGTAAAGTTGATGAGGTTGACTACCACCTACCTAAAATTATACCTTGAGCACCTCGATAATAGCTTGGAGTCAGTGTTCGAAATCTTTCCTGCCCTGCTGTGTCCTGCAAAAGGAAAACAAAGTTTTTTTTCCCAAAGGGTAATTTAAAATTGTTAGGACAAACTTTTTTTAAAAAGATTAAGTTTTGCATAAAATAAAACTGCCTTCGGGGCGGCTAACATACAGGCTCAAGATTGGGAGGCCCTAAAGCTGAAATCTAAAGTCACAATCTGCCATCATGCGCTCTAGGCTTTTACTATAAAACAAAAAATTTCCAGCTTGACAACAAAACACATATTTATGAGAAGAAATGTAGTATGTGAAGAAGCAAGATAACTTGCTTGAGAGATATATTATGTACTGTAAGATTGCATATGGTTTTTCGCTCTGCATATTCTCCACAGTTTCAGTTCCAAATATGAACATGCTCAGTTGTGAAATGGATACAGCAGCCTATATATTGGGAAGACAAGCTCCTGGCTTCAAGATTTGCATTTGATGCCAGGGGGCAGAGTTGAGGACTGCCCACAGTTTGTTCTGCACATACAGACACATTTGTATACATAAATTTTCTACTCTTCCTTTGAGATCTCAAAACTTTGAAGACTTAAGACTCCTCTCAGCATACCAGTCAAAGGCTCCAAAGTCCTGATGTTTAAAGCATTCTATGGCCACTGAGTCTACAAGAAAGATGCTGGGATTACCGAGTGGACTTTATAGCTGTCCCTACTTCTTCTTGCAAATCTCCGTAGCTGTAGAGTTGTACATTGAATGGACTCTATGGTCACAGAGCCTTGCAATAAATTCCCTACTACAACAGTTTGCAGCAACTGTGTCGTAGGGAAAGAGCAGCAGAATGAGTTATGTAACACTGATTATTTAAGTAACCCAAACTCATACCCATGCACACATCTTCAATAGCCATCAAGTATTAAGAAGCACAGGAAATTCCACCAGGGTTTTGAATATTTAGAAAAACAATCAAAGAGGGAAAAATCTTAATGAAAAAAATTATAATAGAGTAATACAGACTCTGTATTTTGCAAAAGTTGGATTTGCACAATATCAATAGGACACTATTGATTTAAAAAAATTATCAATCCCCGACTTGAAGCAGAGGGCAAGTATGAGAAGACGGTATATGTGTATGAGTCACTGCAGTACAAGAAGTTAAGATTAGATAAAAGGCCACTGTTGCTTCTATTTGAAGATATAACTACCAGTATCAGGAAGCTTCCAGGTAAATGTGCAGATCTGGTTACAGATTGGGGGGAGGGGGAGAGAATAATTCCATTGCCACTCACAAGGCAGTGGACATCGCTGCCCAGATGTTCTCTTGAGCTGAGAGGAGCAGCTGTGCTCTCACTGAATTTCAGCCCACCTGCCTCCCAGCTCCTACTTTTCTTCCTTAGCATCATAGTATGCCAGCATCAATTGCTTTGAAGGGGAGAGATACAGACTTGGGAGAACCGAACCAATTTATTTATTTTGGAGAGGAAAGAGATGTTTTGACGAGAATCTGGGTGCAGAACAAGACAGTTAAGCCCTGCTGACTGGCGATTTTCTGCTCACCTACAGAGCCAAAGGATAGCACTGATTGGCTGGTAGTTCTCTGCATGTAAACATGCTCCAACCTTATAGTATTCCAATTTCTGAAAAGGTCTGAAAAGATCAGAACAGCTCAAAATAACAGAAAGTGCAATTTGAATTGGAATCTGAAGAATATGAGGGCGGGAAAACTGGTCATATCTATGTATGTTATGCAACACTGACAGTTTCAGAAATATGTATTCTTAGCATAGATCGAAAGAATGTTGCTTTTTCATCTTTCTTTCTTTCTTTTTTTCTTTCATTCTTTTCCTTCCTTTCTTTCCTTTTCCCCCCTCCTGCCCCCTCCCTTGTCCTCCCGACTCCCTCCCCTCTCTTCCCTTCCCTTCCCTTCTCTTCCCCTCCCCTCTCCTTTCTTTAGACATTATTTTCCTGGATTGGAAAGGGAGACTGTGCGGCTTACCCATATTGCTAGCTGAAGGGGGAAATTTCTAACCACCATCTTCTTCACTTTAAAATCAACACCTGATAACCAAACAGAGAGACACAGAATCAGCAAAATACACCAAGCCATCTGTCCCTAACATGGTACCTGAGAGCAATACTGTTATCAATTGACCAGCTGCTTGACAATAATAGAGTCAATGGTCTAACAGTAACAGAGCAAACAAATAGAAGGCAATGCAGCATTAGGCATAACCAGCAGTTTTAGCAGGATCCCCAATTCTCAGTAGTAACTGGGGGCATTCTTAGAAAATAGAGTATTGGAAAACTGCTGTCCTTGTTTGCTTCATTTAGTTCATAATTTTATTAAATTAAATGTCTGTTTCTAACACTGCTTGTGGTGCTCACATAGATCCTGGAGGCCACCTTAGAAAATAATAATAATAAAAGATTGATTCTATTGCTTTTTTTTTTTTTTTTTTGAAGCATGCCCCCTTGGTGAATGGATGATTTGTGATTGGCCACACCTATCAGAGCTACTATTTTGTAAGAATGCTTATGATACGTTCTCAAAGTTCCACGTTGTCCAGGCTGGGAAACCCTGAGCTAAGCCATGAATGTTAATTTATAGAAAAACATGGCATGCCAAACCAAATAAAATCATACTATGGCTTGGTGATGATATTTTAATGTATGGATCCTGCCACAGAAATAATGAAGAATCAGAACAGCAATCTAAGCATCTCTGGAAAGTACCAGGTTAGAAAAGGCTGGTGCAGGGCATTTTAGATCAGTTTTTGGAGATATGAGTAGAACATTCTTATCTAATTGCAATTTGTCAAACCAGACTATGGATTAAATGCAATTCAAGAAAAGTAGCATAAATACATTTTGTTACTATTTTTTGTGCAAATTTATTACCCAAATCCTGATCTAGTCTGTATTATCTCAACTTGGATATTTCTTCTGAAAAATCTATGGTTAATTCCATTTCAGCCACTAAACACAGATTACAGGTAGTCCTCAACATACAACCATATTGGAGTCTGACCATTAGGCCATATGCTTTAAAACTTCAATCACACATTTCACCTAATTTTATGTCCCTCTAGTGGTCATTAAGGGAATCACGACTGTGCTGTAAATGATAAATTCAGTTACATGACTGTGGAGAGGCCTGACTATAGGAACTTCAAATCCATGTCGTAAGTCCCTTTTTTTTGGTTGTTCATACCTTCAAATGGCCCCTAAGTGACCAGCCATAGATCACAAGTTAATTTAAAGAGGTGGCTAATCAGCAGAAAATATTGCCTCCCAATTATTTACGGTTGTACAACAAATTTTGGGTACAAATTTCCATTTTTGGAATTGTAACTATTTCAGATTTGGGCAACAAAACATGCATCAAAACTTGGTTAAAAGGCCAAATATGAGGAACACTAAAAGTGTATGTGTGTATTTGTGTTTGTGTATGTGTATGTGCATAGTAGTGGCCAAAATATGGAAACCTTTTGGGAAAAGTGTATTTTCTAAAACTAGCTAATAACACCACTTTTTTTGGAGTAGTACCCTAAAATTATATATCAATGGAAAGATAATTTAATCAAGAATGTAATGCAATAACTTTTATGAAGGATTTACTATTAGAATAGCAGTTACAGTATAAAGAGGAGAAGTGAAACACGTAGAAAAAATGAGATATACAAAAATTATCACCATAGAAAAAACGAGATATACAAAAATTATCACATCAGTTAATACTTAGTTGCATAATCTTCGGCATGAATTATGGCCTTACAACATCTTCCCATGGAGTGAACCAAGTCTTTTAGTTCTGCAGATATTATAATGTGAAACCAAGATTGAATGATTGCTTCTACTAACTGGGTTTTATTGCTGGGTCGCTTCTGACTAACAAGTTTCTTTAGTCGGCTCCATAGATTTTCAATTGGGTTAAAGTCTGGCCTATTCCCAGACCATTCCAGCATATGATTATCTTGAAACTCCCCCTCCCCCCCTCAAAAAAAAGTATTATTAGCCATCAAACCTCAAAAATACACTTTCCTCAAAAGGTTTCCACAATTTTGGCCACTACTGTAGGTATCTTTAACTAAAATGTTTACGAGTAGCTATCAAGATGGGAGGCTGCAATAGTCACAGTTCTGATCCTCCTCCCCTTTCCCCATATATGAACAGGTAGCATTGCTCACCAATTGTTGGGCTAAGGTATGGCTCAAACGTATCTTCAGCAAATCTCAGCAAAAGGCTACAGGAACAGACAAGAGAGGAAAAAATAGTAAACCACAAGGAACATCTATCTGCTTTTTTCTCTGGAACAAAGTTCCCCACTGCCTTCCCATTTGGTGACCTTGCCCATGCACCTGGATTTCCCCACTGCGCTGTCTCCAATCAACAATAGCTTCAGAGTCGGCAGAGATGGAGTCTCCTTTCGTGCCATGGTGAGCTTTATTACCAGATGCACAGGGAATTTAGCAGAATGAAAACAAGAGTGCCATCTCAACATCCAAGCCAAGAAAGCTGAAAGAAAGAGAAGAGGACGAGTCAGAGGATAATTTACCATCATTTAGTCCCGCATCTCTTTCTCCAGCAGAAAGAATGAATTACAATCCAGGAAAACAAAACTGGAGTTTGAGAAGACATATTTGCAAATTAAAAAGTTATAGCTTTGGAGAAATTTATGTGATAGGACAAAGAAGGTAAAGGAGTCCCAGCAGATCTTATTCCGCTAGCGCTTGCTGGCTATATGGGGCAATGCTCATCTCTGTTTTAATCCATTGAGCCAGGGATGTCTGAAGACATTTCCGTGGTCATGTGGCCATTATGGCATCATGGAGCATCCTTCCCACTGGTACCTATGTATCTACTTGCATTTGCATGCTTTCAAACTGCTATCTTGGCAGGAACAGGGCAAGGACGTCATGAGATGCTTGGGTCTCGAAGCTGGGCTGTTGGCTTTTCCAGTCGACAAACCCAGTGTCTTAACTATTGAACCATCATGCCAGAGAAATCAAAATCTATGACAATATTTGAATGAACTAAAGATTAAGACTTCTAACAAGAAAAAAAATATATAAAGTTGGTTGAGCAAGGTTAAAATAAGATTGCTATTTTTGGCAACTCTTTATGGGCTTTCTCATGACATCAAGACTGAAAAGATTAAGTTTTATAAATTTGTTTGTAGATAAGAGCTTGAATAGGGGATGTATATTTGTAACCTTAGAGAGGTGTGAAAAATCACAAAATTTGTTTATAATTCTTGCGATGAAGGTTAGAAATCACATCTTTATATACATCTTTTCTCTTTCATTATTAAATTACTTTTACCTTTTTAGTGCATCTTTTACTTTTTATTGTCTTTTCTTTCTTTACATTTAAATTGTATTATAATCAAAATTCTTAATCAAAATTATATATACGCACACACACATACACACATATACATACGCAGGTAATTCTCGACTTACAACCATTCATTGTGACATTTCAAAGTTACAACAGCACTGAAAAAAATGACAAATGACTGTTTTTCATATGCCCGTTGCAGTATTCCCATAATCACATGATCAGAATTCAGGCGCTTTGCAACTGGCATGTATTTATGACAGTTGCACTGTATTGGGCTCATGTGATCACCATTTCTAACCCTTTCCAGACAGCTTCCAACAAGCAAAATCAATGGGGAAGCCAGAGACACTTAATGACCTCATGATTCACTTAAGAACTACAATTATTTGTTTAACAATGATGGCTAAAAGATCGTAAAATGGTGCAAAATTCACTTAGCAAAGGAAATGTTGGGCCCAATTGTGGTTGTAAATTGAGAACCCTATGTGTGTCTATGTGTGTCTGTTTTGCAGGAATGATGAGAAATTATTCCTTGAGGATATGCTTTGCAGTCACCAATTTGTAAAAATAAATCAAACTTTGAGTATTGCCTCTTACTTTACAAAGGAAAAAAATGAATTCAATATTGAAAAACATACTCTATGCATGTTGAAAGATTCTACTTATAAACCATTATTGTCTGAACTCAGCTAATTGCTATTCATTGAAGAAACCATAGTTAAGCAAACTAATGGGATATTGGGTGAACACAGCTATTATTTTTCACACTAATCTATACAAAAGAGTACTACAAAGATAAAATGAAAGAGTAGGAAGAACCATATAGGTCACTTGTAGCTCTTGGAGGAAAGAAAGAATAGAATAGAATTCTTTATTGGCCTTGTGTGACTGGGCACACAAGGAATCTGTCTTTGGTGCATATGCTCTCAGTGTACATAAAAAGAGAGGATACATTCGTTAAGAATCATAGGTATAACACTTAATGATAGTCATAGGGTACAATTAAGCAATCGAATCATACTAGGAAACAATCAATATAAATTGTAAGGATACAGCAATAAGCTACAGTCATAGTGTCATAAGTGGGAGGAGATGGGTGATAGGAACAATGTATATAAATAGTAATAGTAATGCAGACTTAGTGAATAGTTTGACTGTTGAGGGAATAAAAGGAAATCAATATAAGAAAGAAATACGGTACATTTTTAGGAAACAAGTTCCCCTGAAAGCAAATAACTTCCACTGCACCTAAAATTCAAGTTGAACAGCTGTGACCCATAAACTACATATCAACCAAGTATAGTCCAGCCTAATGGGTCATGGGAACACTGGCTATCAGATTAGTTTATGTTCATTCTACTCTATATATTCAGAAAATTGGGTTATCTAAGTGAAAAATGTAAACATCTGAATTTTGTATAGCTTGTTTTACATATACATATAATTGGAACACCTCATAATTTGGCAATGGCTCTTCTAAAAAACGAGAATAGGTTGCCAATAGCTTGCCAAACCTGAACACCGCCTGTCCAGTAAGATCAAGAATGGGTGGAGTTTCTATAATATACATGACCTTGACTTTGGGGGAAAACAATGTGGAACAAGGGTTTCTTTCATCTAGTGTGAGATGTCATTTCAATGGTACAAGAGAAAGCATCAGACAAAACGTTTTAACTTTTGCTTTAACGGCCCCGATTACCTTTACACACCGGGAACTAGAATTTCCCTCCAAAATCGATCCCAAGCACCTGTAGCATTAAATGGTAAACATAAGAACAAATGAATCTGGAGCGTGCAACATACACATAGGCAGCGTGCGTGGGTCTCTACCCAGAGAGATATTACGGGCCTCTGAACTTGTGCTTCTAAGTCGTTGAGAGTCGACCCTAATTATGTAATTTGGTGGGAAAGAAAGCCCCCACCCGCAGGAAAAAAAACAGAAAGAAAGCCCTCCGCCTCCCCAGCAAAAAAGACCGCACGGTCCCTTTAGTACGGCCAAGCTGTTGAAGGCGGAGCCCCTAAGGCGCACGGTCTTAACTCCGCGCCATTCCCTCCTGGCCAGTTTGGGAGTTGCCGGCCGTGCACCAGCTGATCGCGGCCCCTCCTATCAGGCAGGACCCGGGGAAAGGAGCGTGGAGGCGGCCCTGCCCATATCGCGGGGCGAACGAGCCATGTCAGAGTTCCAGATTTCGGTGGAAGAGCTCAACGACCTGCTGGCCAACGGCAGTGGCTGTTACAGCCTCCCCAGCGCGCACAGCAACGAAGTGGCGCCCCGCATCCACGTGGGCAACGCGTGAGTTTCCCCCCCCCCCCTCCCCGCCCCCGGGGATGGGGGGGGGGGGGGGGGTACCCCACCCGGCTGCAGGTTGTAGGCCTGAGAACTGGTCGAAACCCGGAGTGGGTAGGAGGCGTCTTAGCGTGGTGGACTCTGACTTATTAGGATGGAGGGCGGGCGAGAAAACAGCTAGCTGGCTCGAGTAGGTGAAAAGGTACGCCTCTCCCTGGTAGCCGGGAGTTGGCCTAGTAGTAGTGCTACTAACAATTCCTAGCCGTCTTCAGTTAACTACATTTAAGTCCTTCTCTGAATCTTGCCAGCAAGTGTGCTCCAGATATGTGGAAAGGCTGACAGCCCCATCATCCTGGGCCCATGCTGGACTGGATAATGGGGATTGGAGGCTAACCTGTCTGGAGGACACATGACAGTAGAAGCCTGGATTAAATACTTATACTTAAATACAAGACCCGCATTCCTTGCTCTATGTGTTTATTTGTTCAGTTTATATGGCTTCCCACACTGGGTAGCTAAAAATGCTCCCATTCTCCGGTGCTATACAAAGTGCGTTGGGGAAGGGCGGGGCTCAGCTTAAAATTTGTTACTGCCTGATTTGGAAGCTCACTTCATGTCACTCTTCTCCAGCATGTTGTCCTCCACCTATGATTAGGTTATGACTTCAGAATTGCTATTTGGAGGGTACCAAGTGTGGGAAGATGTTCTATACAATCTTTTTGGGGTCTAAATATATGAAATCAACATACAGAATTAACCTGTGGGTCCAAATACCTAGGTCTGCGGCAACAATAATGTGAACTTTTTTCCATCACTTATTGTGGTGTTAGCTGGGAGTGCCAGCATGGTGGAGTCTACAGAGAGAATAAGAGGAGCAGATGATACCACATTCATGGTTACATCATCATGCAAATGTCACAACTTTTGTATTATATCTACATGATTACATCATTTGGTAATTTTTTTTCACACATTCATTTTGATATCTTGCTTTGTTACAGACACTCCTGAGTAGCAGTGAATGTATCTGAAACTAACCATGTTCCCTATTCAGCAGTGGTCATGCCATGTGGAATGAATACTCTCTATATTCTGCTACTATGTCTATATATTCTCTGCTTATTTAAGAACTAGATAGACCCACTGGACTGGAAATAGAGAAACATTTTCTGTCAAATATATAGGCATATTTTCTGCAAGGAGACAAAATTCTCCACATCTAAAATGTGTAACTCATATTCATAAGCCTTGAGATAGACATCAAACAATTAACCACCTAATTTAATTTTCTACAAAGTCAAATCCTATTATTAGACTTGAGGATGTTTTTTTTTTTTCTTGAGCGCAGGATGACTTAAAACACATTTATTCCTCAGGTTGCAAAATCTAAAAGAGCATTTTATTAGGAAGCAAAGTATGGACAAAGTTCTCCTGGGTAGAGTTAGACTCCTAGTGAGGACACAAACATAGCCATAGAATTTTCATGGCAATGTTGCAGAATTAATTGTTACCAAATTTTGAAGATTTTAAAAAATCTTTCTCAGGCTACCTTGTAGGCATGGAATTTTCTAGTGGTCTTCTATCCAAGGATGAACGTAATCTGACTCTTTAGATGCTTGAATTTGCAGGGCAAATTCATTACTGCGATCTGGATTAGGTTAAACTGACTTTACTTTTGCTTTCTATGTTCCATTAACTTTGTACCAGTCTATATATAGAAAGATAACGTTTGTGAGAAACATTAATGATATCCTTTGAAACAGTCAGTGATAATCCCCAATGTTTCTGTAACTAATACAGGGGAAACTTTGGAATTGTTTATGAAATGGGTTGGAGGACTTGTGGCCTTTCAAATTTTGTTGAACTGCAACTCCAAGCAGAATAGAATAGAATTTTTTATTGGCCAAGTGTGATTGGACACACAAGGAATTTGTCTTGGTGCATATGCTCTTGGAGTACATGAAAGAAAAGATACATTCGTCAAGAATCATAAGGTACAACACTTAATGATAGTCATAGGGAAACAGTCAACAGCAGTTCAACAAACATAGCTAAAGGGGTGACTGGAAGCTCAATAATTTGAGAAAACCATAGTGTTTCCTTACTCCTAGGCTACAACTTGGCTGCCGAGGAATCAGTGTTGCCTTCCTTTAAAATGATGGGTGTTTTTCTCTCTAAAGCAGCTTTTACCCAAATGGGGGCTCTCTAGATGTATTGGACTACATTTCTCTTCAGTCACAGCATATATAATCAAGGCTAATGAAAATATTACTTAGGGAAGCCTGTCTTCAAAGACACTGTCAGACTGGGTTTCCCTAATCTATTCTGCCACACAATGTTTGTTTTCCTTGGGCTAGTTTATCTGAGTGGTCTTAGTTGTTAATAGAAACACGTTAAAAGTAAGTATTGTTAATAAAAGTAGCATGTTAATTAAGTATTGTTAATAAAAATAATAGTACTGTAATAAAAAGAAATGTAACATACATAAACAATATATTGTTTACGAAATTAAGTTCAACTAAAACGAATACCATCATTAAAAAAGTTTGCAAAGACTTGCCATTGGTCTGTCTAAAAAGTTATCTAAACTCTACTTTTCTTGGGCAGGCAGTAGCTTTCATTCTCTAAATCAGCTATATCTAATCTGTGGTCCATGGAGCACCTGTGCCCCTGGAAGCCAGCAATGCAGCCTCACAGGATAATATAAAAATTAAAGGAAGTTGGCTCTTTCTGTATATTAACTATTATACATATTTTATATATGGCCCAAGACAATCGTCTTTATTCTTCAGGCAAGCCAAAAAGTTGGACACCCATTCTTAAATGATGGAGCTTCCTCCTGAGTCTGTTACAAGCAAAACATCTGCCTATTTGTCCTATAAATTATAGTATGCGCGTAGCTCTCCATGAAGTCATCTATAGTGACAAGATGAAAGTAGATTAGCTGTTTTTCTATGACAAAAAAATTGTTCCAGAAGTCCAGAACTTTTTATAATTGGCTGCATGTTAAAAAAAAAATTATGTCACCTTCCAGAAAAAGTGTTACAGTTTATTCTGTCACTTCCAATTTGTTCCACCTCATGCTGATGCCCCTGTTGACCAGGCCTAGTTATAGGTGTTGAGAAAAACAGTACAGATTCTCTTGATACTAATTTTGACTCTTGGTAATTATATGAACAATATATGTGAAGTTTCCTTGGCAACAGTGTGGAAATAGTTTGTCTTTTGCCTTTTTGCAAAATGCTTTTTTTGACTTCCCATTTTATCTATAAATTCTGGTGGTCTCTTATTTAAGTATTAACCAGGTCCAGCTGTTTTAATGAGGTCAGTCAAGAATGCCTAAGTGTTGCCACCTGTTGTGACATTCTTGATACTGCTTTAGTTAAAATGGTTTAGTTAGTTCCTTGTTCAAAAGCTAACTTGTGTAACCTTTTAGGCCTTTATATTTTCTTAATTAAATTATGCAGAATCTTGGTTATGATCTTTCCATCATTTCTTACCTCAACTTCCTAAGTGAAAAGCCAGGAATTAAACTTGGGAATTTATATAGATACTATGGTTTCTCTGTGAAAAATCACTGTTGAGCAAAATGGCTGGCATATTGTGATTTTACTAATGTGTTTGTATTTTGTCTGGCTTTTAAGAAGTCCTCATAGCTATCTTCTATCTGTGTATTATTAAAGGTCCCCTCTCCGTTTTTTGCAACCTTCAGTTGAGGAAAATTTAAAAGTATAGGGCAACAATTATTGAACAAAGTTAACTCCAATGGGGTAATAATGCTGAGACCTATGACTCATGGGGAATGAAGTTGTTGCTACTTCTGCATTACTGTTCCTTCTCTTTACATTTCCCAGAAATCCATAGATTGTGTGGCCAAGGGAATATGGGAGGACCATATCCCTACCCTCTTTCTTCTCTCTGGTCCCTATACACAATTGGTTGGTGGAAAAGAATCAAGTCTGAAATTTGAAATACCTCAATGGCAGTGAGTGGCAGGGGAAGGACAAGGGAGTGGTTTGGCTGCCCTCATAGCAAGGTAGGGCTAGATGGAGGATGGGAAAATTTGATACATGAGACCTTTGGATGGAAGGGGATTTTGGGGACAGGCTGGGATCAGATGGGGGGTGAAGTTTTCTCCTAGTTCATGGTTCTCTTTGTTTACCTCCTTCCAGCAAACTGGCAAGCAGTTCCCCTGGTCAACCAAGGTAGAGTGATTTCTGAGCAAAGCCAATTGGAAAACTGGCAGAAAGTTGGAAGTTGCTCCACTTCAGCGATTGGCTTGCAGTAAGGCCCAGAGGCCAGATAGGAATAAGCTGCTTGGAGCAGAGGTTGAAATCTGAAATCCCTTAAAGTGGGTAGCAAAGGAAGGAGGATGAAAAAATGATTTCCACGGCTTCCTGCCAGCTTCCCACAAATAACATCAGTGGGGAAGCTGGTAGGAAGTTAGAAGTTACTCTCTCTCCCACCTGCTTTTTTGCCTACCTTGTGGGTCATTTTATTTCTGTTTAGGTAATGGAATCTCTCTGAAACATGATCCAGCAGGTCACAGGTTATAGAGTCAATACCAAATGCTCCATTTTCACTGTGCATGTCTGCAAATAAGGACAAATTTTTATGGAGTCTCTATGTCAGCAATCTAGTCTTACCCTGTTGAGTTATATTTAATTCCATTTCACTCTACCTATAATGTTCAGTTTTTCCTTGTCACCAATCAATCTTATTTTTGAGGCCATAGAGCATATTGGTTCAGATGTGTTATAACAGCAACTCCCTAGCCAAAATGGCCAAATGTTACATATTCTAGGAGTTGCTATCCCAACTTTTTGAGACAGTGCCAGGTTGTGAAAACTGATGCAGTGTTTTTTCCCCCTTGAGGAACTGTAACACTTTGCAAACATGGAAGTTCCCCCACCCACTGGTGTATTTGTTCACAGATGTTATAGTTTGCCATTATATAAGAACCTATAGATAGTATGAGATGATTGAAAAGTAGTTTGATTCGACCA